CGGTTCAACCCTTTCTTGTTGAGTCCTCCAAACATGACGGAGGTCATCATGCTCCTCGTGTGGGGGACCTGCCTCAGCTTTGACCAACCGTCCATCAGCACCCGCACGACAGAATGCGATAGGGCGTTCGAGATTCGACGGTCGGGCACACAACGCGGCGTGTGCGGATGCTGCGGTGTCACTCGACGAGACTGACGTCGGCGGGGTCTGCTCGAACAACGTTGGCGGATTGAAGGCTCATCCGTGGTCAGCGTGCCAGCGCAAGCAATGGCAACACAGTCGGTGTATGGTTGGCGGACAAATGCGCGGGGAAGGGTCGCAACCTGCATGGGATTGCGCCATCATCCGCTGGGATCGTGCATGTCTGTCGGCAAGGCGAAGCTATCCACTGCTTGCGTGGTCACACCAGCATGCAATCCCGTTTTGTCCACGGGTCGAGCTAACGCCTCTACATGAAAAATTCCAAACGACCCTGCCTGCGGAAGAACCCTCTGGTTCCGATCGTGTGGGTAAACCATACATCAACGATGGCGATCCTGGCGTCGAGGTAGCCATTCAAGTCACGGAGTGCAGCACCGTCCGTCGAGCTTGGCAGTGTCGAATATGGCGAGATGAAAAAGATCCTTTTGCACTGGTTTTGGAGGATACGAGAATTGGATAGTGCAACTCGATTAAGCATCAAAAGGCCGTCCTGTCGACAAAAGCTGGCACTGGCAAGAGGCGCCACTTGCATCCACAGTCTAGACATAAAACATCACCTTTTTCAGATCTGGGTGCACTGCCAAGAACTGGCCCGTAAACGAAGTCGTGCTGTCAGTCGAGCCTTCGTCGCTGCCGTCCACAATGAAGCATCGCGCACGGAATGCCAACAAGTGCGCATAGTACACGGACGGGACAATCGACACAGAACGCGTGCACCGGGCATACGTGTGGGTGAGGCGGAACGCAAGGTTGTGCAGCTCGTCCGGCGTAAAGCCAATTTCGTCCAAGAGAACGTGGTAGTGGGCTGGGCGACTTGTGCCTTGGAGACCCGCGTGGCTCATCAAGTAAAAGTCGTTTTCAGTGGGGTGGCACACGCCCGTGTCGATGACGGTGCCAGCTTTCACATTGCCACTTCGGTCCGCGTGTTGGGCGCTCGTGGGAAAAAATCTCGTGTGATGGCGCTTGCCCACCACGACAAATGTAATCTTGGGGCGGTAGCCAGGCTCCAACTTGGCGCACGCAGCATGAAGTGCCGTGATTTCGTAGTTCAAGACCATTTGGAATTGGCCTTCCGACACCCCATCGCGGAAAAACAAAATCTGGGATGGCTTGCGCTTGGTTTCGCTGTAAAACGCCTTCAACAATTCCACCGCCATCGATTCCAAATCCTCAATCTGTTCGACGCGATGGCCCTGGCGGCGCATTGCTGCTGCATGGCGCACGCCCCATCGGTCCGTCGAAGCCACGACCGCCGCCACCGACGGGCGCGACTTGTCCATCGCCCCAGGATGCGTCACATCGGCACCAAAGATGATCGTCGCTTCGGTAGATATCTTGGGGAGAGGGTCCTTGCAAACCGTGTTGCGGCCACCCAACTTGGTGTTCACCTTCAAAAGCAAGTTGCTCATGTACATGGGGTTCTGTTTTGGCAAGTGTTTGGCCAGCATCATCTGCGATGGAATGCCAAACACCGTGTCGGATGCGCGCTTCAAATCCGTGTAATTTTGCGCGTTCTGCATCGGTGCCACGCAAAAAACAATGTCGGGCCGGACGCCATAAACTTGCGTCGCATTTGTGATTGCTTCGTTGAACATGCGTTCGATAGAGTCCTGGCGCCCTCTGGAATTCACGAGCGGCGGCTTTGCGCTCGGGGGGGACATTCCCAGCCCTTTCATGTGCGTCACCAATGCGTTGAAGAAATCGTACACGTCGCCGTCGGTCACGCGGCGGTTGTCGCACAGGCTCATGATAGCATACGACTTGAACGCCATGCTTTGAAACAGAGCAAGGTTGCGCATGTTCCATGCACCGTCGCGCGGGGTCTCCGTCTTGTTGTTCGCATAGAGCATCGCAGGCGGCGGCAATTGACGGCCTTCCACCGTCATCATGGTCGGGTTGACCGAGGTGCCAAACGAGGCCAAATTGTTGTCCACTGCAAAATGTGCCTCCTGCATTTTCGTGATAATCTTCTGGCGCCGTTCTTCTGGGGCCGTGGCCGTGTAAGTTATCATGTTGGCAACTTGGTTGTCCGTGGCTTTCCGCGGACACTTGTATCCGCCCAGGACATTGCACACTTCCATGGGCATGTAATTATTCCCTTTGGGCGAGCCCACATGCAGCAGCGGCAGGTTGGGATACCGGAGCGGACGGTAGTTGGTCGCAAAGTATTGAGCCACCGTGACTCGCCGACCGTTGTCGAGGTCGATGGTCGTCTCGTTGGCAGACTTCTTGAGGCCGTTAACGCGGTACGCACGCTCGACAGTGCCTCGATGCGTCACAGCAACCTTGATGCCACGGAAAGCTTTCGACGCACTTGAAATCTGGGCTTTGCCCATCGATGTCGGGATGTCGCTGAGTCGACACGTTTCCAAGAGATAGTCGAGCGCAGGCATGGACTCGACGAAAGCGGTTGCCGCCATGTCGATGTTCAGCGTAAGTTGCGATTGCGTTGGACGCAGACTCTGGTGGTAGCCAAACCAGAGCTCCGCGCCTTCCCCCAACGTGACCGCGCCCGTGTTTGTGAAAAAGTTGCGTCCGACCGAAGTGAGCCGCGTCGACGCAGAGTACCGCATCGCAATGTCCAATGCTTGAATCGCGTCGTACGGTGTATAGTTCAATCGCCCTGCAAAGAGGTGATGCAGCTGCTCCGTGCGGACGGCCACTGGGTCCGTGGACACAACATGGACGTCGAAGATCTCCGTTCGACCTTCTTTCTCCCGAGGGACCTTGAAAACCTTTGCATCGAATGGAAGCAGTTGCGACGCGTACAAGTTGCGACGTCCATCCGCGACAACGGCAATCGTCGGGTACTCGATCTTGAGCATGTTGATCAACGTTTGCAGTACGGCCGAACATAAGACCTTGGGCGGGGTATCTTTCGATGGAGCTTTTCCTTCAGCGACAATTGACGCATCGTAGTGGTAAATGTCGCCTTGGTTACGGTTGAGAGTCACGGCAAAATGATTCGCCCACAACGTGACGGGTTGACCGGAACGACCAAACGCGCGTCGAGAGGGAAACATTGGGTTTGCCAAAGGTTGCAAGAGCGTCGACTTGACGGGTGCAGGAGGTGGACCTGTCGGCATTTGAACGGTGGCAGTGCTTCCACCCCCACGGCCACCTCGACCGCCGTCCCCACGTCCTCGGCCACCACCATCGGAAGGGCCACGACCGCCTCTATCAGAGAAGCCTTGTCCACCACGACCACCGCCCCGGCCGCCGCCATCCGAATAGCCTCGACCTCCACCACGTCCACCTCCATCTCGTCCGCCACCACGTCCACCGCCATCTCGTCCGCCACCACGTCCACCGCCGTCTCGACCGCCGCCTCGGCCTCCACGTCCGCCTTGTTCTCGAGAGCTCATGGCAATTTCCACACTGTCTCACAGTCACAAGTTTCAGTATTTTGATTGGTTACATTTAACTTTATTGAAATATGATTGGGCAACTGGATATTCTGTGCAATTCAAGGCTGCTATTGGTGGAATTTTCAAGGGATGTGTCAGTGTGCTCAACGAGATGAACGCGACGTCTGGTGGCGGAACATGTGATCTAGGCTTGAGCTGTGCGTGGATGGAGCTCCGAAGCGACTTCGCTCGTTGTACAGTGGCATGGCAATGTCTTGCGAGGGGTACTGTTTCAATTACGAGAAGTACTTGGAGCGGCCCAGTAACCCTCGCCGTAATGGCTATCTCATGTGGCCCCTGGAGCAGAACAAAGGAGCGTGAAAGGTCCATCTTCGAATCGCAATCTTTTTTGCTGCCCGACCACGAGACAAAATCGTCGGCGACTCCTCACTCGAGCATCATCTTGCATGTACGATGTTATGCAGTTCGTTATGGAAGTGCGTGACGATCGAACATCGAGGCGGCCGCCGCTCTCATCTGCCACACTCGCCAAGGTATGGACGTGAGATGAGATTGAACAAATTTATGCTGTCCTCGAGGAACGTGCTGTTCTTCCCCATCGTGCACTGTATGCGCCTGGTGTACTCAAGGTAATCCTTGCACACATCGTCGGGACGCCGCTTTACTGTCAACGCAATTTCCTTGATTCAGCCGGCCCATCGTGGAAGGTACGTCTCACCGTCGTCCAAGTTGCTGTCGCCCTTTCGAAGATGAAAGTGCGAATACCGCTCGGTCATCTTGATGCGTGTGTGGCTTCGAGTCGCTGTAGGTGCAGTGGTCGAATTCGAGCAGCCCCTTGTCGGGATTGCTTGGGTCGGCGCCTCTGGTTGGTCTACTTTTGGGCTCGCCAAGTGAAAGGAATGGGTTCTTGGGGCTGTATTGAAAGATGGATCGCGGCAGCACACAAACGGCAACTCTTACCCTCTTCCATGACGAGGGGCAAAGTTGGCGCTGCATCAGCGAAACGAACGGTCGTGGGCTGTTATGCGCGGCAGTGCGGAGATGTACGGTTGGAATGCATGGTGTATTTCGATCAGCGGCGGTGCGGCATTGAAACCCTGGCACACAGCAGTCGGTGCATGCCGCGTACTTTTCAGCACAACCAGCAACGTCCGCGCTAAGCGGCGTACATGGAGAGGGGAAAGATGAGCGTCCAGCGAACCGGCGCATCCGTCAATGCCCTTTGCGTACAATTGTGCTGAAGGGATATAGCTACGAGAGACGGTCGTACAACGTAGCAAGTGCAACTTCGCCAACAGCGTGATGCCATTCAATCAGACCGTACTCGTCTCTACCTCGCACATAACTCCATGTAATGCTTTCATCTGGCCTCAGAAATTTCACATGTTTGAAGTGTCCCTCATACCACCGTCCCGACAAATTGACCAAAATGAGGAAACGACGTTTTATTGTTAAACGTATTGAATGAGTCTGGTCGTTTGGCACTTACCACCGTTTTTCAATAATTCAATCGATAATTCAAACATACGGTTTGAGGATTTTAACTACGTAAATCTTTCGCCACGACAGCTATTTTTATATAAAATTGTCGGATGTCGAAAAAATCGGCAATTCTTTGGATAGAATTGCCCCATGTCAACAACTCTCGAAGCCTCGACAGTGCCGGGTCGTTGTGGCGGTACCTTTCGTTGCTCCCGCCCGCGCTGCTGCTCGCTTACTCTTTGTGCGGTAATGCGGCTGGCTGGCACGTGGCGTCGGGGCGAGTGACGTGGACGTGACATGGACGTAACTTCGATTGAATGTTGCTGTTGAATTTCACACATTTGAAATGTCCGTTACATCCATGCGACGAGGGCGAGTTCAAGTCGGAATGCTTCAAGTGCATGAGGTGGTGTGCCCGCTGCGGAAGGTGGCTGGCAAATCGTTCGTTGGTCATTTGGAAATCTACATGAACCCTTACACCGAGTCTCTCCAATGCCGGTATGCCTACGCCAATTGCTTGGAGAAGCGCGCCGTCAAGAGAGACGGCCTACTTCACGCCCTCTGCGAGATCCATCGTGAGAAAGCGAACGCATATGCGGCCAAACGGCGACAGCAACTCCAACGAATCAAAAGCGAAGATTGCAACGACGAGTGCGATATGCTAGTGGAAGGTAGCGACCTGTTCCTGGAGCCCATGTCTCTGCACACCGGACCGGCAGCGTTCAGCTCTGAAGATTGCGAACTCTTGGGTCAAATCATGAAGAATTAGATAACTGTGCAGTGAAATCGCAACAAGTATGCCCCACGTAACCTTGTTATGGAGCACAAACGAAGGACTATACTCAACGATGTCGCGGTGCTCACGCCAACGGGGCGCAGGAAGACCTTTTCCATTTCGGGTACAGCAACGTTGGTCCGTCGGATTTGACGATCCTTCACGCGTAGTTAACCTCGGGACGCTCCAAGCTATCGATAACTACTCGTAATGTCGTTGAAGTGTAATACAGAAAGCCCTATGGTGTACTAAAGAGAATTGGAAATGGATGGGTGTTGCGGGGGCACCAGGGAAGCCACCGGAAATTGCGCTCTATGGTAGCAGTAGGTGGAATGACAGTGAATTCGAGTACAAGAGGGTGGTCGTCAGTGGCATGGGAGGCGATCCGCCACGCAACGAAAGTCCTCGTGGGAAGGAATGCACTGCGCCGGCTGTGTGAGAGCCAAAGAAAATCGACTCGAGAAGGCGTTTCCAACCTGCATTGGTTGGAATCGCATTGGCATGGTCGATTGCTTCGTTCTTCTCACTCGAGATACTTTTGCTAGAAAATTAGTGCACGGCGACCATCTCCAGCATACGCGTCTTGGCTTGGCGATGCTTCGAGCCTTGTCACGGTGCTGCCTTGGAGCGGCACCATCGACGACTTAATGGATCTCGAGGCCGTGCTGTCTCCGTCATTCTAACAGGGTTGGCCATCGTGAGCATGTGGCAGTTGTGTCTTCATGTCAGGTTAGTGCCGCCATGGTCGCTAGTCTCCTTCATCTTCTCTTCCATCAACATGTCCGCAATCACTACATCGTCGAGCTACATCCTGTAATTCCTACATGGCCATATTGTGACTCCGATCCCGATGCGGAATCTAAGTTACCACAAATGATAACAGTGCAATTTCAAGCTAATATGAGCTCGGCATCACAATATGCCGATCTCTCCTTTGCAAGTCGTGGCTTTAGAGCAAGCTGATTGTCGCTAGCACACCCTAGGGAAGACATAGGGCGAAGCACCTTAACATCCATTCGAGTTGGTTTTCATGTCTAGTTTTTATCAGCAAATTGCTTCTGTCGTGCTCCAAGTGAGTCATTATCTTGATGGAAGTATGGGTGGGAAGCCTCTTACAGGCTTCCCCACAGCGATTGTATTAAGGTAAACTCCCAGATCACACGAGCCAAGCCAAGAAGTCGATTTGATTGCCAAGCCTACTCTTTCACGGTAATTGAACTCCTTTTGATGGACAGGAGGTTCACAGTGGACATGGATGGAACGTCACCTAGGGAATGTGGACTAGCATTGTCTTGCTGCAAACACATCCATTTTGCCCCACTTTTATGTCTTCGAGATTCCCCCATTCGGCAGCCACAGCACGCTAGGTCTGACGTTTATTGTGAAGGCACAACTCGTCGGAAATTCCCTAAGATCCATTGCGTGTGTTAACATATAATAAAAAGGTCTGAAATGTGCATGTGGATATATTTATTTTAGTACCTATGCCATTCCATGACGACAAAAAACGGCAGCCAACATGGCACTGACATGGAGCGAGAAACGTCGACGAGTCTACACCCGCGACACTGCGTTGTGTGGCCTTTAAATGTGCTGGGCAGTCTTAGTTCTAACTCCGTGTGTACCCTTCGCGCTGCATGACAGACACTATCGTCGCGAGGCCATGCCGTCGTGGCTTCGCACGCGACCTCTGCCGATCAGACTGCGATCGTGCGGCGTCTGGACGCCTCCTAATACCTCTTTCATTGCAATAGCACCGAACAGCGCCGTGACGATGGGTAACTTCCGAGCTCACTTCACAGATCGAGGAGATGAATCATGCATTCTAACCAACGTTGGCTCTACACCTCCACGTGAAGGGCTTGACGCCATGGGTTGAACAAGGGTTGGTCTTTCCACAATACGCCATGGTGCCGCTTGATCATTTCGTCGATTTCGGCGACGATGGTCGGTTCGTTCGCCTTCAAAATGGCCACTCGGGATTCATACCCCGTGTATTTGTCTTCTCCGTCGATGTCTCTCAGCTTCTGCTTCATCAGTTCTTCTTCACAGCGCCTGGCTGCTTCCTGTTCGTTTTTCTCTTTGGTATCTGTTGCAGCCATGGCGGCGGAGGATTTCAACCACTTCTTGCCGGGCTGACCACGGCGTGGTCCGTCCTCCAGCGGGTCATTTTTTCGCCGACGGGGTGGCTGGATTCCGAGCTCGCGCCTCTTTTCCCTGCGCTCCTTACGGCGCTTCAAAATCGCCTCCCGGTTTTTGAGGTAGTACCGCTGGTTCCTTTCAGCACAACTTCCCATCGCGAGCGCTGCAACGCGTTGTGCGTCAACCAAGAAATAGAACTGAATGATTCGCAATGTAATGGGCGGAAAAACCGTTGAAACTTGATATTTCAAACAGAAGGAGGGAACCGCAGTGCTGGGACATCTAACAACAACTACTTGTATAAATTGATACAATCCGTCGCTGACTGAAAACGGCACGAGGCGCTGGTACACCCACCACGCGACTCTGACACGGCGCGAAGGATGTGCCACCAGTGCTGCTGGATTGCGCTCCATGCATTTCATCTTGGACCGCTCAAATCGACACCTCTACAAACGAGGAAATCAATGCTGGTCGTGGCAGGTACCGGAATCGGTCCCGACGTGTGAAGGAACGAATCTCGTTCTCATAACAATGCCATGTACACATCTACGTCGACAACTTCTCGAGCGTCCCTGCTTCGGGTCCGTCCACACTACGCCTCCGTGCGTTGCGATCAGTTGATCCAGTTTTCCAGCCATCATCACAAATTGCGCCGCTGCATTCAACGGGAGGAACCTGTAGACGTTGTAAGGCGCTGCCGGGGAAACACGTTTGTCTGCCGAGCCTTCCACGGCATCTTGGGCGAGATCCACATAAAGAATCATCCGACGAAAGGCGATGTCGTCCCTCGATGCAGCTTGAATGCTGTGGTCGCGATGCCATGCGGCCAGTGAAAACGGACAAGTGACCGTCGTCGCACGGCAACTTCGTTGCGGCCGCGATAGACAGTGCGGATGCTGAAGTACTGGTCAGCGCTTCGCCCTTGAAGCCATTCCGTGGTTCGTCGTCCGGCAAATTCAGCATAAGTCGCCTCGGGGGGTTGATGGCCCATGGCACCGCTGGCATCGCAGCTTTGCGATTGCGGTTTGCGCAGAAAACAACAACTGGGCTGGAAGCTTGCCACCAGCCCAGTTGTTGTTTTCTGAGGCGGCATGATTCTTTTTGGTGGCCGTATTACCTTTCTGCGACAGCACCACCTGTGCTGTCGCAGAAAGGTATCTCCGTCGACGGGAGTAGTCGACCGAAGGACCATCCGACATGTCTCAAACGCGCAGCGTGTGGAGGTCGAGGAGGGTCGCACCTACTACACCCCTTCATGTTAAAAGCTTGCTAGAGCCGCTGAGCTCGTTGCCCGCACGCTGTTGAGCAACCATTAACTGACCTCTTGGCCTCAAGACTACCGGTGGTGGTGTCAGAGTGCCTTTTTTCGCGGATTATAGTGTAACATGTACCGAATAGTTTGCCGTGATGCAATAAAAGTATTTCGATCGGAATTGATTGAGGGATGCAGGTGGCCAAGCTGAAATTTATTACAGATTTATTCTCGTGGAATGCAGCGACTTCCACGATATGGCTCTGTATTGATGCAGGGGTACGTGAATGGAAGGAACCGGCGACATCCGTGGCTGGGGCGGTGGATCGGTGGGGTTTTGACGATGGGGGTACACTGCACTGGGGAGTGGAGAGTTGATCCAAGAGTTGTCGTTGCTGCATGATGCTTCTGGCGTCGATAGAAAGCCATCGTTCGCATCCATCGGGGGTTTCAAGGGATGCCCAGGGTATTCTCTTCCTTGGGAGCCGGAAGTGGTAGACACACTGGAGTCATCTACAAGCATCGCAACGCGATCCACGGCAGGTTGTCTGCATCATCACGCCAACCTTGGAGAAAAATGTTGTCGACGGGGCTGGAATCGACTCGACTCCTTCCCCGCCAAATGTTTCACACCTCCTCAGCCTCTGAAACGAAGTCTCGAATCTCCATCCAAGCTATCCAACTACCAAATACAACACAACCACAGGCGCCGACGACGAATGTCCCTCCGCTGGAAAACAACTGCAGTGATGTGTTGCGACGCAGGCGGCAGCAACAACGAATGAAGGTCGAGTTGGTCCCCTCGATCGTCTTTGACGCGGAATCCCGTCGAGGCAAATCCGCATCGCGACGGATTGTGCGTCCAAGCGGGTCGATGCCGTGGTCTTGTTCGTTCTTGTGCAAACGAAACAAGTACAACTCGTAACATTCCTCATTCTGCATCGCACAAGATGTCACATTGTGTTTGTTGACGCAGCATGTCGCCTGGACGTCCCCAATGTGCTCAGTCTACACAGCGACCAATCTTCAGCAAAGCACAAGCCGTGCTTTTGTTCGCCATCGATCTGTGCCATGCCTTCCGCCCACCGATACCACACAAGGAACGCTCCATCACAATGTTGCCCTTCACAGGAGCGCTACCATTTACATCTGTATCTCCGGATGTCGACAAAAATGTTAACCGGATATTCCACATCGCCATGACTGCACTCGTCCAACATGATGTGGCGACGCCAGCAAGAGAGCTCCCTGTCAGGAGAAGGTGTGTATAGCGCGCATTTGCGAGACATTCAACCGTTTCCGTGTTGAAAACCGAGTGGTCATCATGCGTTGCTGGCAGGGTTGTCCCCTGTCGACAAATTTGCCTGCCAAGGTTGGCTGCGATTTTCGTGGACCGAAGGATCCCCCCCGGCAACGCTTCAAAAGATGCTGCCACAGATGCGTGTGTTTTGAGCTGGCGCAGTGAATGACTCGCCGAATTGAAGCACAATGCAGCACAACCGCAAACTTGTTACAGACTTTGATGTGGCACACGACAAATCACAACTACTTGTTCGTCCTCGCCTTCTTGCCACGATTGATCTCCGGTTGCCGACCACTATCATAGACCTTCCTTTCTCCAAGCACACTGAAAAGTGATACACCGTCGTGGAAACACTTGTGTGACGACTTCATGCCTACGTGCGACAGAAGAACAACCTGTGGTGACGTCCCCTGGAGACAACTCGAGAGGAATTCGGTGTCCGCAGCGCCATCATTCGTGCCTTTCGTCTCGTCTTAAGTTCACTTTCGCAAATGCGCTGCGCTGCATCGTCGCAGGGGAGACGGGATGACGTGGCCATGGTGCTACATGTCTTAGTTGTGTTCGTTTATAAAGTGGCCTTCGTTATGTTGTCGGTGGATTGATGATGGATTGCTGGCAATGGTACAAAAACATCATGGAGTGGCAAGTGGGGCAGAGCGATTCGGAGGGCGCAGGTGGGAACTGTCCCTTGAGAATGCCAGCAACTCCAGGGCATTTTGGCAGGCTCACGTTGTTCAGAAGGACGGAGTATTCCTCCTCAGTCAGCTCAAACGAGATTTTATGCGAGTGGTGATACGACTTCTTGACGACACCGACACGGAACTGCGTTGGCCTTTGAAGTTGCTCGGAGACTGTGGTCGCCACAGAGGTTTGTGTTTGCGCTTGTTGGGGACGTTGCTTTCGCGTACGTTTTGAGCTCATTGCATCTTCGTCGTCGTTAATGCAGATGGGGAATGCAGACTTTGGCTGCGAAGGAACGACATTGACAACCACAACGTCATCCGAGTCATCCACGCGGAAATGATCTCCATCTTCCCAATCGCTGCTTCCATTGTCGATGCGAGGTCGCTTTTTCTTTGTCTTGGAACGTGGTGCCGCCTTTGTCCTGGACGCCTTCTTCTTTTGTGCTCTCTTCGCCGGCTTGGTGAGAGCAACGTCGGGATGTGCCTCCTTGAGCAATTGCTCCTTGATGATGGCCATGTATTGGTATTCCTGCAGCTCTTCTGCCTCAAGGTAGTCAAAGTACTGTCGCTTTTCTCGCGCTTCAGCCTCCTTCTCCTTCTTTGACATTTTCACGTACTCCCCTCGGTCCGACGTCTTCTTCTTGTATCGTCGAACCTTCTTCTTTGGTGGAGAAGGCTCCTCTCGAACAGCATTCTTCCTGATCTCTATCTCAGGCGCTGCATCATGACCTGGTTCGATCGGGGGTTCGTTCATGCACTTCGCGATGCCGCCATTAGGTGCCGTGGACTCGGTCATGCTGGCATTTGGGAATTCAAACGCTCCCGCCGTCGATTATCCGGTTCTTTATCCGTACTACATTTTTCAAAATTTGTGCAGACATTGCTTTTTCCTTTACAAAATACTCCAGAAATTGCACAAGCAATTTCTATAAATTTCACAACCCAGTGAAAACCTTCAACATATAATACATCAACAATACTGCAATGATGTCAGCTGCAACCGACGACTGCCATCAAGGTGGTTGAAGCTAGAGGAGATGCTCCTTGGCGGCGAAGATATCGCGAATACACGTCAGCAAGGCAACGCCAGTCTCGACACTGGAGTCGAGCTTGATGAGCCGCTGTGGCGCTGTCGGAGGCGCCGCCGACGTCGTGGCTGCTTTTGGCGCCGCTTTCATGGGGGACGCGGACTTGGACGCCTTGGCCTTGGTCGCGTGGTAATAAGCACTCTTGGCAGCTGCAATCCGCTCTTTGTTGCGCTCCGTGTAGGCCTTTTTGCGCGCCGCAATGCGCTCCTTGTTCTGCTGCTGGTATTCCTTCTTGTACTCTGCCATGCGCTGCTTGTTTTGCATGTACCACCGCTTGGCGCGGATGGCAATGCGACTCTTGTTGTTCTGGCGATACTCCTTCTGCTGGGCCAGCACTTCGGCGCGGTTGGCCAGGTACCGCTTGCGTCGTGCGAGGCGTTCGGCTTCCGTTCGGGTCATGGGAATTGCGAGAATGGCGAGTTGAACCGCAGGCACCGCCATCGTCATGGTGTAATGCACCAAGTAGCCGCAGCCAACGCAACGACCTTGGCTCGTCCAGGTTTAGCCATACAAACCGCAAGAGGTCGAGGCAGCATAATCTTCACGGATCCCGCCAATCGTATCGTTGTATTTCGAAATACTCGAGTTTGATTGGAGAATACGGTCGCTCGGCACGATTGTAACTGGCAACACGATGCAAGGGAACCACCGTCGCGGCAGACCCGCGCCATCATCACCGCGGTAGCGACAGCATCAAGATGCGATCAAGACGCGTGACCTACGGCAGGATGATTCAGTGCTGGCCAAAAGCTGGCGTCGACGACGGGGACGTTGAACTGGCAACGATGACGTGGCGAGATACGGACGCGACCACGTCGACATTGGAGTTTGCCCGTGTAAGAAACAAAGGCCCGAACACGGTTCGATTTGGCACTTCGGTCGATGGCGGCAAAAACTACCACACTAGATGTGCCACAGAGAAACTTACAACTCGACATCAAGTAGTCGAATGGTGTCCACGAACCGTTCGTCTGCAATTCCACCCTGGGGTGAAAAAATGAAGCGAAAAATGAAGCTACGGCTAGCTAGTCCAGCCAAATGAAAATGAGCCAGAGCCTTAGGGGGGGGCGTGTCAAATCTCAGCATGATGTTGAGGAATGCCCTGGCAACTCCATTCCATCTTGGCTCATGTGCCAGAAGGCGCTCCCCAAAGGGGGGGCGTGATAGGGCACTGCACGACTTGTTGCAAATGCATACCCAGCTCATCGACTCCGAACCGTGTTTCGTCCTCGTGTGCGAAACTGCCACCGTTACGCGGCCTCTTCGGTTACACGCTTCGGTATGGTCGATGGGCCGGTTGCCACGTCAGGGTAGAATTCACACATTTTCGCGCAACTTTTCGTGACGAGCCCGATCGACGCAGCTAATTATACAACGACGAGGGGCTATAATTGGCACAGAACCAACACGCCCCCCTCGACGCCGTCATCACTTCTTTCGCCTCCCACACCATAAGCTCAAATACGTCAACAGATTGCCCCCGCGTTACCACCGCCTCCGCTGGTCTTCGGCACGAAGCGGCAGAGGTCGGGTTTGCCCTTGTCGCCCTCGTTGCGGCGCAAAACGTCCACGGTATGCATCCTCCTGAACTTTTGGGTTGGTCACATCCTCGGCGCCATCGTCCTCTTCCTCGTCTTTGTCGACGCCACGGCCAACAACTGGGCAATCAACAGTTTGACTGGCGACGCGCTGCAGTTTCGCACCCCCGTCGCCCCCCTGTCGGCCGCGGCCGACTTGACAAACCACTACACTTTTGCACGTGGACGTTCGCTCTCGAATCTGTCGTTCGTTGGCCGGTGGATGACGTTGATCTCGGTCACCAACCTGGCGATCGCCAGCTCCGACGTGTATATCGTGACGGCGGGGTCTTACTCCATCGCGGGAGCCATGAACTATTGTGCCGGTCTGAAAGGCAACTACTCGGTGCCAGACCTGTCGATTCCAGTCCGATTTGCGGCTGTCGACGACGGTGTTACGTTCCTCCGTGGCAACGCGCTCACTCACTTCTTTACCAACGACACCGTCAACGACCTGCCGTCCAAGACGTCGACGATGGCTGACTTGGCGGTGCTCGGGTTTCACGCGGCGCGCATTCAAGCCGACCTTCGCATGACCACGGCGCTGGTCATCAAGAACACCTCGAGTGTGCAATCGATCGCCCTTCCATCCTACCGCATCTACAGCAAGAGTTTTTGCACAGGGTGCATTCCCATGACAACGATGGGCCGTGGGGCGTGCAACATGACGGTCAAGTACGTCCACGCGACGAAAACCGTCGAAGTGTCAGACAGCTTTTCCATTCCTGGCTCCATGTACGATTTCGGATTGATGATGAGCTGGGGTGTGCATGACACGATTGGAACCTTGCTCAAGTACTGCGCGCTCTTTATCGCGACGGCGGGGTACTTGGCCAGCCGCAAGACGATTCAATGGCACGACCCCGACAAGATTGACACTGTCACGACCAAACTTGTCGACATGGTGTTTCCCAAGTGTTTGCCGCACTTGAGCCACGCGATGCGGTTCGACTTGTTTTGCTACAACAGCGACATGTTTGTCCTGCTGAGCGTTGCGAGCAACGTCCTAGACATGGACAAGGGCATCCAGTACATCCGGGAAGTGAACTCGTTCAATTCGCAGAGCCCCCAATGGGCCATGATCATTCAATTGCTCGCGCTGAGCACGCGGCTCCTGTGGCTCAATCTGGGCCTGGTCAAAGCGGCCAAGGTACTTGTTCGCCTTGTGTCATCTTCCTCGTACTGCGGTGAAAATCAAGTGATGAAGTTGCTCAACTTTAGCAGTGTCACGACGCTGTACTTCAGCGCGGTGCTGCTCTTTTACGTGCCGCCGTACGTCGAGTACAACAACTCGGTCCGGTGGGATGTCTCGAATCGGATTGAAAATCTCGATGGGTGCTCCATCCCGTCGTTCTCGAGTTTCTACTATCGCACGGCCCCGGCGATCGCGATCGGGTTGACGCTAAACGTTGTCGCTGTCCTCGCTGTGGACCACATCGTGCTTTTCAAGCGTTGGCGCGCGTTGGGCAGCAACAGCCTCGGCCGCCAACTCATGTACAATTCGACCAGTGTCTCGTGCGATTTCGTGTTTGACTATGCGATCGAGCCCGACGGCGCATGTGTGATTCGATGCAAGGCTCGAATGCTCAGCACGCTGCAGTGGTACTTTATGACGCACATGCAGTGCTTTTGCTTACCCGAAAAGTACGCGAGAAAGTCGATGGTGGCGTCGATCGAAGCCGTGAAACGCGCCGAAGGCGCGGCGTGCGAGTCGAACGAGGTGCTGCATGCGATCCACCAAAGCGAAGGGGGGCATGTCCACCTCCTCGACGACGCACTCGCTAACGTCGACGCGCTCGCGTTCAAAACCAAAGTGCTTGAGAACGCGACCGTCTCGATCCACTAACGGTCTAAATACCAACGTGCTAGTTGCTCGAGCGAATCGAGCAATTGCTTGCCCTACCGAGCGCTTCGGTGACTCGTTGTCGATCCAATCTTCTGAATGCAGTTAGAGATGACGAGAACATTATCTTGCTCGCATCAGGTGCAACTGAAGCGACGATGGCTACCATTTTCGCGCAAGCATTGGGCAGCCTGCAACTCGAACGACAGCGGAAACACTACTTCCAAGCTTGGCACACGGTCGACCTCGATGCCCTCGGTGAGTCATCACGCCAGGCAACGAGGCACGTCCACAAGGACGCGGCGCACGTGCGAGCAAAGGCTCAAACTTATCTTTAGCCATTCAACTGCCATTATTTTTAGCTCAACCAAGTGGAGCCAAACCCCACAGTCAAAACGGACCCAAGAACGGGCCGACGTGAGGATAGCAGTCATGATAGATGCCGTCGTGGTCGTCAAGGATCGCCGGAAGGGGATGTACCAAGTGTTGTCGACGTTGCTCTCGCCGTCCGTCCAGCAAAAGACATCGCTGGTGTTCAACTTGGTTACGCCAGTCATCGGGCGCATCATCGGCGGGATCGTTCTCTTCCTCGTCTTTGTCGATGCGATCGCCAACAACTGGGCCATCGTTGACTTTTGCGGCAACGCGCTGCACTTTCGCACGCCGGTTGCCAACGTGAAGACCGCGGCCGAGCTGTCGACCGAGTACATTTTCGGCCAAGGCCGTGGGTTTGGGAACCTCTCGAATGTTGGCCAGTGGATGATCGGGATGTCGATTGAAGAGCTGGCGACAGTGAGTGCCGACGTGTATTTCTTGACGGCGGGAGCGTATGCCATCATGGACTCGACCAACTTTTGCGGAGGATTCAACGGCAACTACTCGGTGCCAGACCTAGCCATGCCAGTCAAGCTGGCCGTCGTCGACGACGGTGTTACGTATATACGAGGGAATTCCTTGACCCATGCGTTTACGAATGACCTCACCGAGAACCTCCCGACGAAGGATGCTAAAATGGCCGACTTGGTCGCGCTGGGCTTCCACCCGGCACGGATGCAAACGGACATGAAGATGACCACGAGCGTCGACATCAAGAACAAGTCGTCGTCCCAGAATTTTGCCATCCCGTGGTATCGTGTGTACAGCAAGAGCTTCTGCACGGGGTGCACGCCGCTGACCGCCCTCAGCCATGGCATCTGCAACATAACGGTCAAGTATGACGATGCAACCAAAACTGCTGTGGTGTCCAAGAGCTTCTCCGTGCCCAACTCGACGCACTACCTTGGCTTGATGTTTCGCCGCAGCATCTACAGCACGATTGGGGCCGTCCTCAAGTACATTGCGATCTTTATCGCGCTTGCGGGCTACTTGGCTGGCCGCAAGACAATCCAATGGCACGAGCGGGTCCCCGAGAACGTTGAAACAGTGGCCGGGAAACTCGTCGACATGGTCTTTCCCAAGTACTACCCCCACTTGAGCCACGCGATACGGTTCGATCTGTTCTGCTACAACAGCGACGTCTTTGTGCTGCTTTTCGTCGTGAGCAATGTCCTGGACATGAACCAAGCCATCCAGTACATCCGGGAAGTGAACCAATACAACGTGGTGAGCCCTAACTTCGGCATGTCGTTGCAGCTGCTGGCGCTCAGCACACGGCTGCTGTGGCTCAACGTTGGCATGGTCAAGGTCGCCAAGATGGCCGTCCATCTGTTGTCCCTTGCAACGTACTGCGGCCAGAGCCGAGTGATGAAATACCTCAACTTTAGCAGCGTCTCGACGCTGTACATCAGTGCCATCTTGCTTTTCTACGTGCCAGACTACATCGAGTACAACAACGACAGCCGCTGGGACATCCGCCACAGCTTCGAGAACATCAACGGGTGCTACATCAACTACTTCAGCAGCTTTTACTTTCGCACGGCACCGGCCACTGGTATTGGCCTTGCGCTCAATGTCGCGGGTGTTCTTGTTGTCGACCACATCGTCCTGTTCCGATTTTGGCACTACTTGGCCAAGAATAGCCTCGGCCGCCAGGTTATGTTCAACACTTCGTGCGTCACGTGCGAATTCGTGTCGGATTTCACGGTCGAAGCGGACGACAGCTCGGTGATTCAGTGCAAAGTGCGCCGTCTGAGCACGTTGCAATGGTATTTGATGAGCCAAACACTGTGCTTTGGGCTGCTGGAGAAAGAACTGAGTAAGAAGAAGCACGCGCGTGCACCGGGGGCTACCCACCCGTCGACTGTCTCTGTGGCAAAGCAGGACGACACTGTCGGCGGCACCGGCAAAGACATCTTTCACGTGATCAGCCAAAGCGACAGCGGACACATTCATCTTCTCGACGACCAACTCGTGGAAGTCAAGAGCTTGGCCCTCAACATTAAAATCCTGCGGGACACCGACGTGTTTATTCGGTAGGAATAGGGAGAACCTTGGCCGTTAGCTACGGTAATGCATTCAAATTGCTGTCGTTGCAGGTGGTGTCGCTGCCGTCTTGTCTTAGCATGGCCTGGTAGACGAAAGCATAAACATCGCAGCCATGCTGCCCTCGTGCCAATGCAGTCGACTGCATCTCCGCTTGTCTAGGGTGCTCTTGAAAATATGCACGTCGTTCGTGCAGGAGGCCATGTCTTGAGCACAAACTACATACCAGGCATGTCAACTCATCTCGAATACTAGCGCCGGGGGCTCCTAAGTCCCGTTTGCGCCTTCCCTCGCTATCCCCTTTGCAACGAAACGATGCCACCAGCTCGATCCACACTACGTTCGTAGCTCATCCGTTGAGTCGCTCCAGACTGACTCACGTATGCTCCAGTGGGGTTTGCCTTGGGTGAAATTTTACCCACGCCTGGCTAGTATGAATTGCCCATTCTGAGCTACTTCGCTCCTCACGCAGTGCGCAAATCCTGCTTGCACAATGCACACGACCACCCCTCCAAGCATCACGAAGGGCTAGCGATTCTCGACTTTCCATAGCCTGTCCCGTGCTCGTCAATTAACGCAAAGACTCTTTCCGCTTCGTCGCGCGGCTCATTCAGGTGCAGCGCGCGTACTCTCGCCGGGGCGAGG